AGAACAAATGAAACATAAAATATGTCACTTGAAAAATGAAATACACATATATCACATAAATGCGTAATGTATTCCTATACTCTAGACAACATAGAAAACATACTAAGTTTTATTCCAATATGACATAATGTAATCAAACTTCTTTAAATTAAAAAAAAAATACAAGAGATATTTATACGTTTATAAACAACCATAATAAAACGGGATATTCTGATTCAATAAACGTACGCGTATAATAAAGATAATTATGTAAATGATGTATTTGTAGCAGTCTAAACATTGTTTGATGGGATTTATTTCGGCACAAATACCTTTTTCCATATTGATAAAAATGATACCAAAGTATGTAATAAATTTCTCTCAACTTAAGTTGGTGTTCGCTATTAATAAAATAAACAATTAATTTTCAGGACAACAATGAATGTAAATAAAGCAAAAATATTTCGTGATTTCATGATTGATTTTATATTTTTGACTGTTCTCATAAAATTCCATTGCTCGAAATTATTAAGATCTTTATTTTATCTTGTTTTAGACTTTTTGTCTAGTTCTTGCTACCTCTATGTAGATTGAAACATTCATATTAACTAAAAGTCAGATTATAAATGAATTTAGTTATAATTTCCAATTTAAGTGTTAAAGCTTTAAGGAAAGAGAGATAATTCGCTTTGAAATAATACCTACTACATTGTATTATTATTGACATAGTTTAAAAATCATATCTTAACCCTACTCAATTGTATACATGTAAGTTACATTTTTATGAAGTTTTCGATTGTGCAGGTAATATCCGGGCTTTTAAACTAAACTTTAATTCCAAATTGATTTGCAGTATTTGTAAACCAAGTTTAATAAATTTGCCAATCTTGGTCTGACAAACACTTTTTATTTTGACCACAATTCTTCGAATGTATTCGATATATATTTCTCAAGTGGGTATATATCCTTCTCTGGCAAATTTTAAAAGTCTAAAGGCCTCTACTCCATTCATGCCAAAGTCTTCTCGTAACATCTTCTCCGAGAGACCTATCAGTATCATGCCATCAATCATATTGTTTCTAAACGTCTCAGCATATTGACCAAGGTTTAGAACTTTTAGGTATTCAGTCACTTCATGAATAGAAAGACTTTCAACATTCATAACTGTATTCTTAGAATGTCCGTATTTCAATTTTCTATTCGCTCTTTCTGATGTGGGAACTCGGGGTGGTTCCTGTGGATATGTTTCGTGACTGACAATTGTTGGAGTTAATGTTGCTCTAGGAATATCGTTGTTATATTTTGAATTTACTTCTGTTTTCTGACGGGATGAATGTTGAGCGCTACAACTTTGTTTTTCATCAGGATAATCTGGTGTTGGAATATATGTGAATTGAGCAGATTTAGGAAAACCAAATCTTGGTGCAGGCGTTGGTGCCTTGCCAACGGCCGATTTAATTTCGTCTTTTTCTTCTCTCCGATCATAAAGTGGTTCGAGTGAAGATTTTTGCGGAACATCAAAATAAGACGATTTGTTTAAATCAGACTGTGTATTGTATGTAGGTGTAATGTACATATTGCTCACTTTTTCGGATAATTCTGTTGTATCCGAATCTCGTTTTATCTGCGAATTAGATTTAGGTACATCTTCCGGTAAAGGTGGTAAAGGTCTTGCGTGAGTGGCAAATTTGGTATCTTTATCTGACTTTCGATCACTTCTCAGTGGGACATGAAGATGTGGACGGGATTTTAAAGGCGGACCTTCAACTAAGCTTATGATGCTTGAATACGATTTAGGTTCAGAGTATGACATCTTCGTAGTGGAATGTATAGTCGTCGGGTCATATTCCGCAATATCTGACAATGAAAAGAAAGATTAAGGAAAACGATGTACTTTTTGAAATGTAGACACAACACAGATAAAAAACAACATAAAAATACTCGTCTTTCCGAGTTTCACAGATCAACCTCGACTTTGAACGCTTTTAATAACATATCTATATTTAACAAATTCATTGCAGCGAATAAAATAAGTATTTCATGATATTGCTGGCATACTTGGTTAAATTAAAGTAAATAAAATTACGCTCTTCTTAATTTAACACATAAGTTTATTTGTCCGTTATCACATCTTTCATTTGACTGCAAATTTTCAATATGTTTATACAATGTTAATTGCATTACATAATGTAAACTATGACTCTGATAGTAAAGTTTTGAAGTGAATTTGAAAAGTATGATTTTAAGTTTTGTAATACGGACTGGGATTTCCAAAATGCTGATCATATTCAATAGATGAGCATTTGTACAGCAAATTGTCGAAGTACACTCTCCATCTATCAACAGATTGACCTTTGAGCCCAGTTACCAACGAGAGTCTAAGTTGTGACAGGTATAAGGGTACATGAGTCACATCTGAACAAACTTGACCTGTAAAATACAAGATAGTTAGCCTTTGTTATCAGCTACGGTAATGATAAATAACGAAGTTAAATGTCGTATAAATATTTGAACTTTTGTAACATTTGATCTAATAATCGAATGGAATTGCTTTTTTCTCTCAATATTGTCGGAAGATATTTGAGTAAGACTTAGGTAGTTTCAGCTTGTAAACAAAAACTGTCTTATTAGTTTTTCGTCTAGTACAGAAAATACCAAAAAGTTATAAGAGACAAAACGTATGTGAAAAATAATCATGAATATTTCATCAGTGAAACTTAATTTTATTTCACATATATGCCCTTTGATTGTATATATAATTTAGCGATTATATTGTAATCAATCTTGAAAATCCATCAACTATCAAGATATAGAAACATCCTTGTCAGAATATTGCAATATGTTACAGCATTTCAATCAGATACTTAAGAGGATACTCAGGCAAATTGATGACAAAAAATATATAAATGATATTTTGCACTCAAACCACGCTAAAATGACAAAGTCCCAGCAAAAATTGATGTATAATTTCTATAGATTTTGGATATGTTGAACGAAATAAGACGCCGACAGCAACACCGAGTAGTATTAAAACAAGTCCTGTCATGTGACGTGAACAAACCTGGAAGTTACAATAACAGATATTGTGGATGTTGTATGATCGAAACAAGTCTAAGTAATTCATTTGACATGTTCTTTTACCTTTCGAGGGTTCACTGTAACAGCTATTATGAAATCTTTACGCTCTAACCTGACCTGCGAGGGTCAAGTTAGGAAACAACCATTTTATTCTTTAAAAAATTTTGTTCCTGTGACTGACTAGTTTATTCAGTTTGAGGTCATTTACAGATCAATGAATGAAAAATTCAAAACGAAAAATTGTAACTTTTTCCTGTGTACCCCTTTAAACTATGTACCTTAAAATACCTACACATTCACACATTCAATACGTTAAACACCTACCGTCTATGATAGTGTTGGAAAGTAAATAGACTTCGTCAAAACGTTTTGTGAGTTTCCAGGCAGGTATGTCGTTTGTATTGATGCTCTTGTTACAAACTGTAAGCACACGGTCAGCTGGAAACTGTACCAATAATGGCAATCTGTTAGATCGTAGTATGTTGTAAAAAGAAGTCTCTGCTCCGGCTTAAAAAGGCATGCTCCAATTAAAAATGTAGATGCAATCATACATTTTGTTTATAAAACATATCATTAAAAGAGTATTTGAAAGGTTATTGAAAGAAATCATATTATTTATGATATTATTTATATAATTATTATTTCAACTGAAAGCTCACGGCAGCATGCTTTTCCTGAAGAAACGATAAGATATCTTATACAGCAAAATATAGTATAATTGAAAAAAGCAAATATATTTAGCCGCAAGTCAATTTTGTTATTATTAAAGTAGAAATTTTCGTATTCAGGACAAAATGAATATTTTCAATATAGAAATATTATCTGCACGGTCTTTATCGTACTTAAATATTTTTTTCAAAACAGATATTTTTTACCTATCCCATTTTTAATCACGCATAATTTTTTACTGTAGTCCTCGGGGATACTCAACAGTTTTTGCATACCCTGCAATGTGCTTTCTGCAACCACACGCTTCTGTCTAGATACCGCGTTTATCAACATTACCTAATATAAACAATATACAATGTGAAAAGTAAAGTCAAGAAGGAAGCGAGTCACTCAAACAAAAAAACTATCGACAAGGAGCCAAGTAGGAAACTAAAGAGGAGAGGACACGCGTGATAAAACATTTGACGGGATGCTCTGCGAGGAAGAATTGCATTCAATTAAGGCATCCACCAACAAGACATAGCAACATAAGACAACCGGAAAGGAGACCAGCAGGATACCAAACAAAAACAGGACAGGACACAAATGCAATGCACGAACGAGGTTATTAAATAAATCAGAAAGATATCATAGAAACCGACAAGGAAGTTAAAAAATCTGTCTGTTTGATTGAGACTTGTCATAATGGACAATGAATAAAAAATGGATCTTAACATGTTGGCAACAACTTAAGTAGTATTCAATTTAAACACAAGTAATAATAATGTCATCAAAAAATCCCTTTATTTTTCAAATATGCAAATTTCAAAACGAGTAAACTAGAACATAAGATAAATAAAAAGGATAAATAAAGATAAATTAAAAGATTAAAAAAAAAGTAATAAAACCCACCTGTTCTCGATCGAAAGTGTCCTCGATAATGTCTCCACAAAAACCTTGTGTTACCATAACTACCACAGGGAGTTTATTTTGGTATAAGTCAAAAAATCTTCCAATGCTGTAACTTACATCTTCGATTTGAAACTGCATTTTGAAGAAAGTCTTACATTTACCTACATATATTCCATTTATATTATCTTAATTACTTCAATAAGCCTGTTGATCATTTATTTCTTCCTCCTTTCAGTTGTGTGTGTTTATGAAACTCGCCATCTCCGCATGAAATACCAAAATATTCACAAGCATTATCTATGTCTTACACTATCTCAAAGAAAGTCCACAATATATTTCTAAAAAAATACATTTAAACGTTTCTGATTTACGATGTAACGTGTCAGTCAGTTGTTATTAAAACGAAAACGTTTGATTTTATTTTGAATTAAAAAAAAAGAGAAACGAGTGAGAAGTAATATTATATATGTGAATAATCTCAACAAAGGAAATTGTAGACAGCTTTAAAACCTAAGTGTACTTGTTAAACAAATCGAACGATAAAGACCTTTACAATGTGTTCTATATGTTAGATTTCAAATCGATTCAGAATGTAATGTTAAATGTTAAAGTCACTTCCTTGATAAAATATACATATCTATGCATTTTCTAACATGAATAAAACAATTTGTACGGACCTATGTGGGGTTTTTTTTGAAAATATTTGTCGGTAGTTAAGGTATGATAATATTTATCGCTCACAATACGAATTTTGCCAACACGTTCAATGTTAAAACGTTACCTACACCGTAACAAGCAATCTACTATTATTCATGTTTGATTGCTATATGGTGATAGGAAACTCCAAATTTACGCACAAAATCACATACATATATCTCCTTACACCGTTATGTGAGTGCGGAAAAACGAAAACTGATTTCCACTATTTTTTGAATACCTAAGTTTTAACATATATAGACAAAAGCTATTTCAAAGTCTTAACAATTTCAACATTACTCTTAATACTCATGGCAACCCAAATATCTCTGATTCATTCAAGTATGTACATATATACATATCTGAAACAAAACTGGTCTAATTGTGAGACAGACCACCTTTCCACTTAACTAGACCAGTTTTGCTACTTCATTATGTTTTGCTGCTACAATATCGCATTTTATCAGTACTTTTCAGTCTATTTTGATTGCTATATAGTTTCATACTTCTTACACATTTTCGCATCTTTATTTTTTCCAAAATCTTTATTGTCCCGATTTGTCATAATTTTTTATACAGTACAAACTCGACACAGTATAAAAATACACTTTAAATGAAAATAATTTCATAAGACTTAGTCTTTCGGTTCTAATCATTTTCTTGAATATAAAAATAGTTGATTATATTGTATTTGTATATATTATATGTTTAAGCTAAGATTTAAAAATAGTTTGAATTGGTTGAAAAACAATTTTTAATTTGCTATGGGCCACTTTTTCTTCAGTTCGTTACTTTTGTGTATTTGTAATAAATGTGAAAATTGAATAAAAGAAATTAAATATAATTAGTTAGGAATTGGACTTGGCGTGAAGAAATGGCTTTCTGCAGCATATCCCATGCATGCTCAATTGGATTTAAATCCGGGACCTCGCTGGCCAATCCATGCGGACCATAGTAGCCTCCTCAAGATATCGATATGTGATGTAGGCTCTGTGTGCACGGGCGTTGTCATCAATATGAATGAAATCAGGGCCGATTGCGCCATCGTACGTGCGAACATGGACTTAAAAGATTTCATTGAAGTACCTTACTATCGTCAGTGTACCGTTTTCAATGATTTGTAGGCCAGTTTTCCCCTGAGCGCTCATAACCGCTCACACCATGACTGAACCCCGCCAAAACGGTCGTGTCTTGCAACGCATGCTGGAGCTAAGCGTTCATTTGGACTTCTCCAAAGCCTAGCCCGTTTGTCGGTGAAGTCCACATAAAACATTGACTCATCAGTGAAGAGGACCGGGATCCAATTATTAACTGTCCATGTGACATGAGTCTGCGCCCATTGCAAACGCTCTTGAATATAGCGTTGTGTCAATAGAATGCGAATTGCTGGCCTTCGTGACGTCAACCCTGTTTCTAACAGTTTGTGTGCTTACAGGTACACCAGTTGCATTCTCGAAGTCGTTAAGTAAGGTCGTAGCGTTCGAGAACCGTTAGCGCCTGGCCTGAAGGACAATAAATCGGTCCTGGGCTTGAATCGTTGAACGTTCCGGACCTCCAGCGTGGCCCTGCAAGACATTTCCATTCATTTGGAATCGGTTCAACACCCTGGAGACAACATTCTGGGATACCCCAAGGACATGGGCAACGTGCCTTTGTGAACGGCCACACTCCAACATTCCAATACCCATGTTCATCTCATCTTTAATAAGACGACGTTTGACCTGTCGATTTGCCATAGTTTGTTTATTTCGAACATAGTTTTTGAATAAAACGAGAGAGGTCTTGCTGCTTGTACACGTTTAAGTGAAAGCACACGGCCATAAAGCACCAAATTTCCATGGTTATGCTTTTCCAGGTGCCTATCGTGCAAGGTTTACATGACAAATCGATAACTTAAGAACACGACTTTGAGGTCCCCGTACAGGTGTATCGTTAGCGAAAATATGATTTTAATATGACGATAATAAGACCGAAATATGCAATGTCAAAAAGGTGTTCCTTAGCAAATTTCATCGTTATTTCAATCATAAGTTTTAAGCATCATACAGCTGCAGTAAACATATCAAATGAACATATACTCGTATATAAAAGTTGTCTCTGATAAAATAAAAATTGTAAAATCCAAACAGAAGGTGAAGATCAAAACGCCTTTGATTAGAATAATAAATACAGATTTAAAAGCATATCGACAATATTTGGTTATTCATAAGACCAAATGGTATGGTGTTAAACATGGCTCTTCGGAATTGATCTTCTCGAATTATTTAGCCAAGTAAATTACATCAAATTATAAATCATACCTTTCCAGGCATGGCTTTCTGAAAATCTGAATAATGAAGACGAAAGTAAAAGGTGTTGAATCAATGATCCCGACGTACTAGAATAGTTCTATATCACTGAGATGATAAAGTCAATGGTGATTTTTATAAACTGCAAAACTGCTATTAAAACCTGCTGTTGTGGAAAAAGCGAAAAACCTGGAGGGTAATGCTAACAATATTAAAAAAGCGAAAAGTGCAGATTCGGTTTTATTGAGTCGGACCATGAGATATTATAAAAGATTTTTTTACGTTTAGACAAAACCCGTTTTTAATACTCACAAGAGTGAAGTACCTGAATGTGTAAGCCACTACTTGTTTTAAATCAAGAGCAAAGTCGCGCTTAATACCGTAAAGATGGTGATATTATCCCTAAGAATGTGTGAAGGTCCGTGAAAGAGGAACAAGAGACCTCCGTTACAAAGTATATACATATATCAGATAATGTGATATTAAAGAAACAATGACTTATACTAGAAGAATGTCAAAAGAAAGTTACTGCTTTCCTAATCTGAAATCTGTCAATCAAATACATGTATGTAATTCTGGCATTCAGGAAACATATTTGAAATGGTTTCTAGTAATTGGGTGTGGGGGTTATCTGTAGACCGAACTATCTTAAATCAGCTTTGCATTTAGAACTTATCAACTAATATATGTCCAAACTGTGCAGAAGTTGTTGCAATAAAAGTAAGTACTCTAACAATTGTTTCATCGAATATATATGAATTGCCTATACAATAAGCCCAAAAGAGCATCAACTTTGAACAATTTCCACTGAAGTAAAATTCAACATTGAACCTTCTCAAACTGAATCATTTCTTACGCTGCATCCAAGTTATTCTTTAATTTTAACTGAAAACTCTACATTTTAAATACACACTTGTCATTTTGTAGACAATCAGTCTTTTTAAATCATTCTCTGGATCAAGATATGAGAAAACTCGTCAAGTAATGTACTGACGGACTAGCATTGAATTGGTTTACCTGCTTCTCTCACCACCACTATTAGAAACAAATCTAAATTCTTTGCCACGTGAAATTAAGCTTAAATCATTTGTTTAAAAAACAAATTTTAATCCCATTTCCGGTTTTATGGCGCCTATCATTTAAAATGTCATAGTAAAACATGATAAAATAGATCAACAAGGAATGACGGCGTTCAATTAACGCAACCCTTATACGACCCAGCAACAAGAACCAGAATGAAAAGGAGCCCAGGAGGACTCCAAACAAGATCAGGACAGTTACCGACTTTTTATGAACATCGGTTTCAAAAAATATATCTGAATCGGAAGACATGTATTTTAGGATTTTCTACTGTATACTTTGTACAAAAATCCTGTTTGTTCGCCATCCTATTTTCTTGTCTTGTCTTCGACTATGCCATGAAGGAAACCTGTAATTTGAAAATATATGTTGCAACAATTCTACATTAAATGCTCCGTATTATACGTATGTAAAATATTGAAATATCTGAAAATGTGCAATGGAATCTCAAGTTTATCCAACTGAAAATTCAAAACACATATTCTTTTGTTTTAGATTGAACTGCCTTTTGATTTTATTTTCATGAAATACAATATGAATTTAATCATATGTGTATTAAATATTACAGTTTACTGACCAGTAAGTACTAATTTCTCAGTGACTGACTATTTATACAAAATGATTTCTGAATCTTGTCTAAATGATATAATGTTAATGCAGAATACCACTAATGGGCACTAAAAGAAACTGTAAAATTGACAACGTTCGACCGTTATCCGCTTTAGAAGACACCTCTTCGTAAAATGTAAACAAACTTAACCGTATTGTTTACAAATAATGGATTATTTTTCCTCATCTAAACTTTGCTATTAAAAGGGCTCGTTTTCAGAAATGAGGAAAATCTAAATAATCTGTAATATCATCATTATAAAATATGTTTTCTCGTTAATTTTTGGTAAGAAACAAAAAGTTACATTCAGCTAAAAATCTACATAGGTCAAATGATTGTTTCTACACAAAATTCATGGAATATGTATGAAATTGTTACACTACCCCACCCATTTCAACGGGTGTTTGGCAATTTTCCTACATAGAGAGCGATATTTAAAAAATCCCTAAAATTTCCAAAAATGTGAGTCTGTTTTCAAAGTTTCCCTTCACAAAAGTATTTTTGTTGATCTTGTTAAATATTTTTCGCGTCTAGTTTTGATTTTATTACACTTATAAAATATCAGGTATCATATTTGTTATTATATTTAGCATTTTTTTGCCGATTTATACCTTCAATAATTATATAATTGAAATCGAACCATTTTCTTTCCTTAAGGGATCTGAGAGATACCTAAATAATGTAAGAAACAATTTGTTGCCCCTTCTTGGGTTTGAACCCACGCCCCTCAGTTTCAAAGTAGCAGTTGACAGTAATTCTTGTCTATTTGAATACTCTTCAAAGCGGAGGTAATACATTAGGGGTATACTACCTTAAACAATATTTGATATTTTTTCATTAATCCAATAAATATAAAACGACGTAAGGGGAGCAACTCTTTGCACTTTGCAATGGGAAGATGTTACTTCTTAAAGCACCTGTTAAACTACCTTATGCCATTTTGCCTTAAACGGTAATTTTACGCGTTTAAAAGTTTTCTTATCTGAATATATTAATTTTAAAAATGCAGTTTATATAATTTAAACCTAAACAAAATGCATATTCATGATTTTTTCATGGTTGGTTGTTATTGTTTTCATAATTTTTTTATTACAAATACTTTCTTGAAAGCATCATGCTAATCGTTTTGTTACAACACTCGAGCGTTCTTCGTGGAAGTTACCAGTACTTGCGACACGCGTGTAAGAGTGGCTGTAACACCATTAATGCTCGAATCTACCATCCCTCTATTACTGTTAGGTCACCAATACACTCTGATTTTCATAAGGTAAGATTTTCATTTTTTCTTATAATAAAAGACAGAAATAATACATTGATTGGTATTTTAAACAAGTTATGCATAAGTGGTGAAAGTATGAAACTGTATAAAACTGATAATTTATCGATCATTTGTCATTTTTAACACACTGGCAAAAATATACTAGTACTATATACAAAAAACCGTTGAGGGTATTATTTTTATTGGATGATATGCACGTATATATTGTTGATGTTTCTTTAATTGACATTGTTTATTTTTAAAATTATTAAATAGATAATTACTAGAGATTGTTCTTCCGTTTTCAGTTTCAGGTTGCAAATAATGTGTTGTTGAATAAAATGTGTCTAGTCTATGGCAGACATACAGAACAACAAAAGACCATAAAACACCCTACATTGCAGTTTCTGTATCTATGTTCCCTAAAATGCACTAGTAGGAGACAAATATTCTATGAAATCTTTCTCTTACCTGTTTTTTATCTAACCGCAGGGGTGGGGGGGGGCGTCCGTGGCCGAGTGGTTTAGGTCGATGACTTCAAACCACTTGCCCCTCACCACTGTGGGCTTGAATCCCGACAGGGACTTTGGATTCTTTCATGTGAGGAAGCTATCCAGCTATCTTACGGAACGTCGGTGGTTCTACTCAGGTGCCCGTTCGTGCCTGAAATAATGCACCTGAGGTCTTCCTCCACCAGTAAAGCTGGAACGTCGCGATATGACCTATACAGTGTCGATGTGACGTTAAACCCAAAACAAACAAAATAACCGCATGCGATGATACCTCATGGATTTGTATCATTTATTGCCTCACTGGGTGTGAAATTTCCACCTGAATACTATCTTTATTGTATTTTTTTTAGTTTATTTTAACATTGTCATTATATGTTATTAAAACCTATTTGATTACTGAACATTGTAGGTAAACAAACAATCATTTATGCATTTGAAATTGGAGATTTACCGAATGTGGATTAAATTTCAACCACAGTCAACTATCGTTATCTCGACATCGCTTTTCTCGATATTTCGTTATCTCGATGAAATTTTGAAAGTCCCGATTTTCTTCCTTCTTTATCTATATTGGAAATATTTGTTTATCTCGATATTTCTATTTCGATATTTTCAGTATCTCGATGTAAAATTTCAGCCCCAACAGTTATTTTCACATTATTATCCTTTGTTTATCTCGACTTCGTCCGTTCCCTTCAGACGTGTGAAAAACACAATCTAGACGATAATTGCTCAATTAATAGCGCGTGTCATAATGTCGATTATGTTTGTAACAAGTTTAGCTGTTTTTATAAAAGTTTATTCTATTTAGCGTGTTGATTGACTTATGTCCACAATGAGTGAATTTTACATTCTTTTTAAATATTCGAACACTGTATCAATTCATTATGACTTTAAATGTAAATGAAAAAGTGAAAGTATAGAAACGCTATCGTTGCAATATTGTTTCACAACATCACCACCAAATCAATCAGCGGTGAAACAATCTTGAGAAAGACCCGATAAATAACCCGGGAGGATATCCGGATCAACCATATCCGATATCCGATTCACTATATTGGTGTATTACTGAGTAAACCTCACTATGTGTTTTTATCACAGACACCCGTACTTCCGCTGGTAAACATCCGCTTATGTTACTTTGTTAAATATTGACTAGGCCTATGAAAACAAGACATGGGGATATTATAGTTCATTTGACATAAGGTATGCACATGTCTTTTGTAAAAATCAGTTTCGCCTTGTTCTAACCCTAATATGTTTATCTCGACATAACGTTATCTCGATATTTTTTGGACGGTCCCAATGACTTCGAGATAACGAGAGTCGACTGCAATTGCATTTAAAGTTAAACTATTTACACAACTTATGACACTTATTTCAGTAAACTACTGTACATCAACAACGAAATACCATTATTTAGGATTCGAATTACACTATGATAGCAATGGGATAAACTTTACATTAAAACCTGCAAGTTGAAAGTGAAGACGAACTCTTCAAAGTAGTCCCTGATTGTTTATATTTTTATTGTTACTCACCATTCGTACCTAGAACCATCCTAATATTAATTTAACAAGTGATAGCCCGAAGGAGCGAATTTTTGGTCATGTTATCCATGACCCAACTCCCTCTCGCCAACATTTACCTTTTTTAAATCGAGTACCCAAATATTTGAGCACCTACTGTATCCATGAACTAACCTTGGAATGCTATGATACCTACCTATAGCAAAGATAGACGCAGTTAAATGGAAACTACTAAAACAATTTCAAAACGTCGTTCAAGACAGTGATAATCAAGATTATGAAGATCCTATTTTACTTATATTCTAAATATGCCTATTTTGACTAAAATTATTATTCACAATAGCACATTAACAATCTAAATCTTAATTAATGCTTTCAAGCAAGGGCAATATTATCGTGTTTGAGTCGAATGCCATATAAACCCAAGCAATTTACTAAAACAAGACAGATTATGGTCAACTTTCAACCAACAAGTAAATATTTTAGATTTCAGTTATTCACGAAAATGAACGAATAGATTGCTATTTATATTTACTTACTTTTCTTTACCCGTAGATTTATTTTGATATGTATGACGCAAGGAGCTGTATTCATTTATTATTATGTAAATCACTTAAACTACTTTAACACAGTTTATGAATTTTCAACTTGTTATTTGCGCATCATTCCACGATATGAATACCGCTATGCGTTTTGATTTTAATATAAAAACATTTTAGTCTATACCCAACATTTCAATGAATATTACATTTCAAATGCAAATATCATTAGATTTTCGACTAACACTAACTCAATTATATAGTAAAACATGAAAATCATTACTATACTATTTGCATACATTCTAGTACCATTTTTGACAGTTTTAATTTTTGTTGAGAGGGTTCATTTACAGGTAATAAATGTAAATGGGGATTTAACAATTGTCGGATTATTCCAAGTGCACAAACCAGAAGGGGATTCATGCGGAATAGGCCTGAGCGTTGCGTCTGTAATGACGTCAGAGGCAGTGAAATGGTACATTGAAGGATTAAACCAATATGGCAACCTTCCTTTTAAAATTGGTGGGCATTTTTGTATTATATCTTAAAAATCATTTTTTTATATATTTTAAGAGTCTATAGACACACTTATGGTTTACACTTAGGTTAGAATGGTAATAACTGTCTGGACTTAAAAATAAGATGCCTTTATTACACCGAAATTGGAAGACATAATATTTTTCTTAATATCATTGCATATATCTTATTGTAACAATCTTTATTTGAAATTAGTCAGACAATATTATTTGTAATGTAGTTGCTCGTGCTGTTGATGAACCTGTTTGTTCTTTCATATAAGATAAGTAAAGGTTTGACACACAAGTCAGTGAAATCAAGTCTTGATTAAATGGGTCTTAGTCAAATATTTTACACTTAGATATACCAATATACATGATTTACGTTTATTTTATGCAAGTTTGATTCTTTATCTTTACTCTATGCTACATCATCACAAAATAAATAATAGTATCATCAACAATTTTTTTTGAAATTTTTATGTTTTCTGATTGAAATTCATTATTTTACCCTTTTTTCGAAAAATATTTTTTTCTGACATTTTTTATTAATTATGAGATTGTTTTTCAACCTGACTCATATAAGGGTTAATACTGTATTTTCTTCTCACTTCTCATTATTTTAATCATCATTTATGTATGTTTATTTCTATGTATTTTCATTCCCAGGCGATTTGTGAAATTAAATATATTTGAAATATATAGTCATCTATGTTAAAATGTTAACATATCGTATATATCTATAACATTATAGGCTTCGAAGGGCATGGAACGTGTGGTCTGGTGAGCAAAGCATCTGAGATTTCAATCAAACTGATGAACAAAGCGCTTACCAATAACAATATCCTAGGTAACTAGTCAAGTTTGTAGATTTTGGGTGTGCTGACTCAAACTAGTTGAGCAAAACACATGCATTTCTCAGACACAACTTGAAAATACATTCTTCTTAAATCATGCATACAGCTAACTTTCTATAATTTAGTCATTTCATGATAAGTGTCGTAAAGTGTCAATCACTTCACATGTTACATAACAAACTATCAATGACAATAAACATATACACCAAAGAAAAAAAAGTAAGACCACACTCTAGTGCAGATTTACCCTTCACTGAGCTTGTATAAGTGTCGTTCGAAACCAAATTATAACCCTATAACAGCAGACGATCATTAGATAGATCTGTAAACATGTCAAAACATGAATCCTGTGCGTTATCGACAAGATGTTCTAATATGTTGATGTGACTCTCTAACTATATCTTTTTTCATTCTTTTAAAATGGATTTTTCAGTTATACATACATAAACCTGATCTATGTAGCGTGACTATTTTTCGCTATAAATTTTAAATTTTCATGCGTCAATAAATCGTTATCATGCATTTTAAATTGATTCACAACTAAGGTTTTTGGCTGATATAAACTAAGTATTTTAAACCGATGTTCACTCACATAAATATAAGGTATTCAGTCACGTTCGAAATAATGATCGTTCGTTGTTGTTCATATAACTGCGCGTTTGAAAGATCAGCTTTTCAAATTGAAAATTATTGTTTAGGCTTAGATGTCCGAAAAAACATTGAATTGCCAAACATCTTTATCGGCATTGAAGCAGAGTCTGTCAATATTTTGAATTTTTATCTTGAAAATTATCACAGTCATTCACCGTATTGGCTTCTTTTTTGTCTCAATTTAAGGAGTTATTGGCCCTGAATTCAGTTCTGAAGCAGAAGCTATTTCACCCATTCTAAGCTCAGTTACAAAGGAGAGTCGTTTAGTACAAGTGGGATTTTCAACCAATGCAGCACGGCTTGGAGACGCTAGAAAATATCCGAACTTTGTGCGAGTCGTTCCGAATGATGACGTACAAGTTGAGGTACGTTATTATCACCATCATCATCATCATTTTTTCATCATTTATTATTTTCATTATAATTATTATTATCATTATTATTGGTGTTGGTGGTTTAGCCGTTTATTTCGATTCCGGGAAAATATGTAATAGAAAGAGCATCGAAACGCGAGGCTATCTTATTTGTACGGGGGGCATAAAGCAGATTGCGGAGTGTTTTGGTGTTCTTTTTCTGTTGTATCACATGTTGTATCATAGCCAAAAATAACAAACACGATCTCTGTTGTCACAACAGAAAAACGTAACCAATGAACGAGGATCTGAATATTATTTTGTTATTGATATCTGTTTCCCTGCCGTCACAATAAGTAAACCCCCAAAACATGAGCCAATCAATCAATGCTCTGGAGTGCGGGTAGCTAATGCCTGCACTTCAGTAAACGCACTGTGCATGTATATGATTTAACTCTAACACATTTTCAACAAAAAGGTCCCTAAATTATGATACAAGTTAAATATGTTATGCGTTCTGCCACCAAACTAAGACTTTTTAGAGCTAATGCATGTGTTCACGTGTATTTAACAGGTGATGATCAAGACGATGAAATCTCTCGAATGGAACAGAATTGCCATCATCTATGTCAACGATACTTACGGTCGGGATGCTAGCAACCGTCTCATTTTGAGGGCAAACGAAGAGAGTATTTGTACATCTATGAATAGCGCTATCCCGGTAGAAACTAGTGGAACTTTTATTTCCTCTTTGTTAAACGACATTATTTACGGTACCAGGGACAGGTCAGCTATAAATGGAATAGTTTACATAGGTTCAAGTTTATTCGCTCGTTCTATATTTATTGCTTTAGAAAATACGGGCTTTGCATCCGTTCCTATTTTCATGTTGTCGGAAGGTACTAATATGCAGACTACAATGTTCAAACATCATAGTGGGTTGACGATTAAGGCGTCAAAAGGGTCTCTTGTCCTTGCACCTAACTATAAGGAAATCACTGAGTTCGCGTCCCATTGGAGGTCAATATTCACAAACAAAACGTATTTTGAAAAGGAAGTTATGACCAACCCTTGGCTAATGGAAGTATATTATGAAATCACAGAGTGTGATAGAAGAAACTGTGAATTTACGGCACTGACAGAGAGTGATTATACCAATGCGTTTGAAGCACAAACGTTATACGTGCAGTATGCCATTATTGCTGCTCATACACTTGTTAAGGGGACAAGAGAACTTTACGATAAGCACTGCCCTTCCCCTGTATTCTGTGATACTTTTAAAACAGAATATCGTTCTGGCGACCTAGTTGATATTCTAGCAGAAATTAAGATTGACTTTGAAAAAGACTTTCTGTGGAAGTAAGTTTTTTTGTATACATACAAACATAACAATCTTTCTCCTATAATATGCTAAGCAATAATTGCCAATATTCACAAATAAATGCGTTTTTAACAATTTTATAGGCATTTTTAAAGCATCATATATTAATGTATGCGAACTATGTGTACCGAAGTGCTTCATGAACATATACGAAATGCTACAAACATATTTCTCATTAAACGTTATTAATAATTGTAAACAGTTAAATACTTCAAGATGATCCTCATGTCACTCTGTTAATACGTTTGTATTGCAGATTACCGTCATTATCAGACCGGAAGCTTCAACTAAACAGCACGGAAACTCAACACAAGGACCTTTACCTATACGATGTTTTCAATTTCCGCAAGAAAAATGAACTTTCTTCTGATTTTGAGCTGATAAAGGTAGTTTTATTTTAAAGAATCTATACTAATCTACAATAGTCTACAAAAATTTAAAGTACAATATTAATATATTGACCTGATTGAGAAATTGTGTCCGCCACCAAGCGTTAACGGATACTATAGAAAACAGTATACTTATAATACTTATCGGTTATTAAATGTAATTTACAAGGTTCGTTATTTTGCAAATTTGTTAAATACGATAGTCGGCTAGAGTTTAGAGAATTAATTGTTATATGCAACCACGTCGGTAGACTTTGGGAGCATAATTCTTATATCCTGTCTGTAAATCTGTCAACCTGTTGAAACCTTTGCAATTACATATTTGTTCCATAATCCTACCTTTTCACGAAAATAAAGTATTGGTATGGTCACTAAGGAACATAAACATTTAATATCATATTTACAAAATTCACTCCAAAATCCACTTCAAATCAACGTTATCATAAAACAGATTTTGAAAAGGGCAATATTCTACATTAATTTTGTCATCTTTTGATATTAGTCATTAGTTATAATAGTAATGCTATTGCTTTTGTAGGTGAGTAATCACTTAGATAACGACATAACCATAAACAAAGAGGAGTTTAGAGACTACACGATCAGTGGCGAGGAGCTAGTTTGGCCTTACGTACGAAAGGCGCAATGCAATGTTAATACAAAATGTGCCGAGTGCATCAATATTGAAAAACTACATGAAAGTATCATATTTGAAACAGGAGACATCTATATTGTGGGTGTCGTGCCAGTTTTTGATCGTGACAGCACCTCCAGAGATGGTTGTGGAAATATACGTGTAGTCAGCGGATATCAAACAGTTGAATCAATAAGATTTGCTGTGAAGAAAGTCAATACGAAAACCGGCGATTTTTCTGGCTTCTTTCCCGGTTTAAAAATTGGCCTAATTGTTTTGAACTCGTGTAACGATCCTGTCATAATTCAACGGAAGATTCATACACTTATTCATAATGGCGTAAAAATGGCAGACGGATCTGTTATAGATCTTCATAACAGAATATTAGGATTTATTGGTGATATAGAAAGCAGTATAAGCATTGCTGTGGCAGAATTACTGTCAAGATTACAATTTGCACAGATAAGCTTTGCTTCTACAAGTCCCTTGCTCAGTGATAGATCTAAATATCCATATTTTATGAGAGTTGTTACTCCAGATGATGCCCAAGCAAGAGCTATAACTGAAATTATTAAAAAGCTCGAGTCTAACTATGTTCAGATTGTTTATAGCACTGGCGCATACGGTGAAGCAGGGAAGGATAAAATTAAAGAGGAGGCGTTCAAAAGCAAAATATGTGTGGTCCAAGAAATCCCCGTAGAGGAAACTGGGAGTGCATTTGAAATATTTGAAAAGTTGCGGCGGTTCACACATGCACGTTTGGTTATCATTTTTCTACAGTCCCACCGATTAGCTTCTGTGGTATCAGCCTTAATCTCGCAAATTGATAAAAGAGGAGAATTCATGTTTATTGGATCTGAAGCATGGGCTCGAAAGCGAGATCCATTGAAAACAGACAATAAGCAAATTCTTCTTGGTTCTTTTACGCTATCCCTTGAAATGTATGAAGACAACGAATTACGAACGCACATTCAAAATCTCATCCCAAAACCTTTTAATCAGAACCCATGGTCAACATTGTATCTACAAGAGAAAAGGAATTGCTATTATGATTTAAGTTTTGATAAGACAAAAGTTGAGATGTGTTCTTTAGATAATGACGACAGCTCTGGTACAGATTTTACGTTGGACTCCTGGGCAACATCCGCCTATATTGCAACAAAGGCACTTCTAATGGGAGGCAATGATTTTCTAACAGACAAATGTAGTCAAAACACGAATACACTTTGCGAAGAATTCAGACAAAATACGAAAGGTACATGTAGTTTTTTTAATCAAAATTACATTTATATTGTAAAAGAATGAATCGTCATACGACATTCCATTCAAAGATTTTATTATTTGAAGTTTGTTGCAATATTTATATAAAAGAAGAGCCAAGTTTGCTAGTTTATCTACAAATATGCTATCTGCTATCTTCACTGTCACGTAGAACATTTTATAACAGGTGTAAAGTTGTACATTAAACCTTAAATCTTTTATGTATTTATTTATTTTTTATAAAAGAAATATCACCACGGGCTTATAAAGCCTAATGGAAGTTTACCATTACTCTGACACTTATATAATTCATATTTGAGAACGACTGTATTATGAGTACAATAGATTTTTGTTTTGTTAACTTAGCTCAGACGATATAAATAATGTTAATTGCTAATTGTAACAGGTTTTGTAGAGGTGATTCAGAGAACGAAGCTTGATCTAGATGGTTCCGGAAACAAGAATAAAGTTTTCAATGACAACGGCGACGGCAATACAGGTTACCGAATTTACAACATTCAAAAAGACGATGATGACTCACAAAATCTAATTTACGTTGAGGTATGAATTAAATACATTTGAGACAAATCGATCTGGTCATTGAATAGTGTAGCAATGACATATTACTTATACTTTTAAATAGATTAAATTAATACCTGCCCGTTCAGGAACCTCAATTGTGCAAAACGTTGTGTTAACGGATATCTCTCGCTGTAACAATTTTTTGGAAACGCATATATTTCGTCTTGTCTACTCAGTAGGAGACATTAGTTCATAAACTTTTACTATTATTGAAAAACGTTATCCTATTTTGAACCATTCATTAGGATAGTGCATAGTAAATAAACGTTTATAAGATGTGGTTTTATTCAGAGTGAAACATGTGCAAACTATCATTATTCGTATTTTATTACTACATTCATTAATATTATCCAAACGTCTACCACCTTATTCTGCCAATATATGAAACAGATTTGAATTACATTAGGTTTGGATGCCTTCATTTAAATATTAAATGATATTAAATCTGAAAATAAAAATAAGCAAACAGTAA